GTCACTCAGCATGGTGGGCCCACAGGGTCCTGGATCGGCCGTACCTTTGCAGCCCCCGAATCCTGACTCCTCCGTCCTGAGCCAGTATCACCCTCACTGAGCACTGACTTCTAGTTCATACAGGGTGGGGAGGGCAGAGGGGTCTGGGGGAACAGCAGCCAGGCTGGTGGGGTGGGGCAGTAGCTATTTACCAACCAGAATGGAAATAGTTCTGCATTTTAACAAACAGGTGAACATGGCAGGGCACACAGCTGGGGATGCAGCCTCCGGACGCTGCTCAGTAAATGTCAGCACCACCACCAAATACTTACTAACTATCCTGTAGACCTGTAAGAGTTTATCCTTACCTCCTCCTCCACCCCCAGGCCAGTGTGAGTCCCGGGTCTCAGTCCCAGCTAGACAGACGGTCTCTCTCTAGGCCTTGGTCTTCCCGTCGGTCAAACCAAGACCCATTTATCGCTTACACTTCTACATTCAAAGGTCCACACTCCCCCTTAAGTGTGTGTGCGTGTGTGTGCATGCTCATGCATGCATCTGGGTGTGTGTGCACACGTGTGCATGTGGGTGTGTGCATGAATGTGTGTGCACATGGGATGGTGTGTGCATGGGTTCATGTGTGCGCCTCCCTCTCTGACATCTCCAACCTCTCTCTGGACACACACCTCACCTCACGAGGTGCCCATGCCCACCTCCTCCCCACCTCAGCTCACCACTCTGGGCCTCACTTGCCGCACCGGCCCGCATGGGCCTTTGGTAATTGCAGACCCAGACCTGGGCTGAGAAAACCAGGGAAGTCACCAGCACGATGGAGCTCAGAGCTGATCACTGGAAGATGGGCCTGTTTATTTGCATGGCACGCATTTGTCTCTGACTGTTTTATCCACGCCCTGAGTCAACTGAAGAGTTCTCAATTTGCCCTGCCCGCCGAGAGACCAGATTGGAGGCACGCACGCACGTTCGCAGAAGCCCAATATAGACTTCCAATTATCTTTTAATTTCGATCCTGTCTTCATTTGTTCATTTCACTTTTTCCAAACGGACTGAAAAAAAAAAAAGCTGTAATTTATGGAGTCTGCAGTTAGCGAGTGGGAGTGTGTTCACCTGCTGGATGAGAGACCTCGGGCGGAGTCGAAAGCTTGCCTCCCAGCGCCCTGCAGGGGACAAGGGCACCTCTTAGGGGCCCCCAAAGTCCCCGCTTTCTCTTCTGACTCTCTGTAGTAACTGGATCCTCTTATGCTCCGTACATGGGCCCCAGGACCTTAAAGGGGAAGGGACTGCCACGCCCAGGTTTAGTGAGTTCCTGGACAGCAAATGAATGGCCTCGGAGCACACCTTCTATATGCAGTTGAACCAATCCCAAACCTTTACTGCAGCCAGCTCCTTTACCAGGTTCTCACATGGCTCTTATATACCCCTGGGGCCAATATTCCTTGCCCTAACCACCCCAGGACTAGGATCCGACAGCCGAAGAGAGCCCAGAGGCCGCTGAAGGATTCCAGCCAGCCAATCCTAACCTGTCAACCCTGCCTCCTTGGTTCCTTCCCTGGAAAACCACAGCCAAGGCCTTTACACTCCTGGCCCCGCCCCTCCACCGGGTGCTTCCCGGGTGGCCTGGCCTGGGCGGGGCAGGTTGGAGGAACCGAACTCCTCCTGGGAACTGTGTGCAACAAAGTATCTTTTGAGCAGCAGCCATCTCCTGGTGCGCCGGCCTCCCGTCCTGGAGTCATAATAAAGCCTACCCTTGAACACTATCTCAGAGGGCTGGGGCAGACAGCGGGAAGCCTCGTTTCATGAAGGCCTCCTCTGTGCTCCGTGGTGTCTCAGGTGTGACTTCTGCCCTCCAACAAGCGGGGTCCCAGGAAGCGCCAGCTGGGATCGGTATGATCACACCGTCTTGCTCAGCATCTTCCCCCAAGGTCTGCGGTCTCCACAGGGGCAGGGCCATGTGTGTTTCCTGAACCCGTGTCACCGCACCCAGCACCGGGCCTGGTGCTTGATGAGCATCGTGTAAATATTTGTTCACTCAATCATCCTAGGCCCCTGCTTCCTTTATCCAGAGTCCATGCTAAATGCCTCTTCCTGGCATCCTTCCCTGGCCGCTCTACTCTGTCCTTCGTGGTGCATTGTGGTTTGGTCCCATCGTGGGTGTCTGTGCTGTCCTCCAGGTCAGAGCGGCTGTCCCCTGGGGATGAGACTGTGTCTTCTGGTCCCCAGGCCCCCCCCCTTCCCGGCTGCCCCACCCGGTGCCCAGGAGCAGGTTCCGGCTGGAAAGAGTGATCGCCTGACTCGGACGGTTTACACTGGAGCCGGAGGGAGAACACTCCAGGGCACAGTGGAGCCTTTACTGGGGCCCAGATGGCACTTGCTTACCAGGTGGCGTCTGAGAGGACAATACCAGGTCACAACACACCACCGGGGTATGCAGAGTCTTTCCCTCCCCAAGGGTATGAGAGTCCCCAAGCTGTCCCTACCACTGGAATGGTCACTTGTTCAGTGGGGGCCCCACATCAGCCCCCAGAGCCCTGGCTCCACCACTGGACACATCCTTTTTATTGCCCGTCACCCCTCATCCTCTCTCTCCCAGAGGAAGACCCCTGGGCCATGCGGACCTGGTTCTAAACCAAGACCCTGCCGCTCACAACCAGGTGACATTGTCACATCCCTCTGGGCCTCAGTTTCCTCAGCTGTGAAGACAATACCACCTCCCCGAATTACTGGGGCATGAAATGACATTACTTATGCAAAGTGCCCAGGACTTCATCTCCCCTTCCCTGCGACTCACCTTGGTGACCCAGGGGGTGACCGGTCACCCCGCCCCGGGTGAAGAGGACCTGTCAGCAGATAGGTGGGAAAGCTGACCTACTTTATATTCCTAGACCCAGTGAAATCTCCCGAGACGATTGTTAAAAAATGGGGATTTCCTGGGAGCCACCCCAAACTTCCTGAATCAGCACGGGGCGGGGCGGGGTGGAGCTGGGGGAACCGCGTTTCTAACAAACACCCACCCGCAGTGTCTCTGTGCTGTGACATTCACAATCACTGTCTTGGCCACGATGCACAGGAAGGGGGCCGTGCTGCCTGTCATCAGTGCGACAGGTGAGGAGGCCTGTTGGATGAACCCAGGTCTGGAAAACTCTGGGGTCTGGAAACAGATACAGGTCCCTGCTTACAAGCAAACTGACATCACCGTGGAGCTGCCATTAAGTGGGGATGACAATTGTCTCTTTCTTAAACAAACACTGAGCACCAGGTGAAATTGATCCCGAGTACCCACCCCCGCTGCACCTGTGGAAAGACACAGGGTGTGTTGGCCGTTGTCCCAACTGTGCCCGGCCCCATACAGGCCCCGGGGACTTAGACTCCAGCAGGAGCACAGAATGTACTTTGACCTGTGGCCCATGATAGAGGCCAGAAGAGGAGCAAAGAACAGGAGCCCGAAGAAGGAGATGGTCCTGGGAGGATGGAGACGCCAGGGAAGAAGGCAGGGGAGGCACCGCCGTTGGGCTATTCTTCAGGGCTGGAGGGATGTGCACCAGCCCAGCCAGGCGCCTGCGGCAGCCAACAGGAGATGAAGGTGGAAGAGCAAACAGGCTGGAGCGCGGGGGCTGAGAGCAGGGGTGATCGGGACCCTTCAGAGCCCCGTCCCGCCCAGGCGTGTTTCCTTCGGCCCGCAGAGTGGGAGCGCGGGGGCTGAGAGCAGGGGTGATCGGGACCCTTCAGAGCCCCGTCCCGCCCAGGCGTGTTTCCTTCGCCCGCAGAGTGGGTGTTGTTCTCGTGTTGCAATCAGACACCATCACTTAGCAATGGAGAGTGACGGCATCACCACCTAGAGAAGGGTCTCTGAAACAGTGGGCCCCGGCAATGCTGGGCCTGCCCGCCTGGCACCACCACGGGGTGGGTCCTCGACTTACCTGCCTGGCACCTGCAGGTGGCTTTTGGGGAGCCAGAGAGGACCTCGGACTAGGGAGGGGCACAGCTAACCTGTGCTTCAGAAGGTACAGCTGCTGCTGATTACTAGCGTGATGAAGAGGAGAGAGGAACAAGAATTAGCTTCCACGAGGCTTTACACACACGAACCCATTTTGTTCCCACCACAGCCTTATGAGGCTTGTATGCGGTCACCCCCATTTTTCAGATGAAGACATGAGGCTCAGAGAGGTGAGGCCACTGGCCTAAAGTCACACAGCTGGTAAGTGGCAGCGGCAGGTGCTTTGGATCTAGAACCCCTAGCACCCGTGAGACGGTGTGGGCGAGTCTCTCTCGGCCTCTCATCCTACGAGGCTGTCTGGTTTGGAGGGGGAGACTGTGCCCCTCGTCTAGCCCTGATCTGGGTAGAAATGCTGTGTGTCTCTCCCAGGCTGCCTCGGGGTGGCCGGTTCTCTCGGGCAGTCGGGAGCCGGGTCAGGAGGCTTGGCCGCAGCTCCTGGCTCAGCCTGCCCTGCTGCTCACTGCTGCCCAGCCCCCGCTGTGGGAACCAGTGGACCCTCGACAGAAGGGAAACAGACCCAGGCAGGTCTCCTGCCACACCTGCCGTGGCTCCACCTGTCCCACACTCGCCACACCCAACCCTCCCAGCCCAGTCGATTTGCAAAACAGAAAAGAAAGCACACACACAAATAATAACCAACCCCCTGCGTTTCCTAGCATCAGGTGACTGGTCAAGAGCTTCCTCCCTCTTCATGGGCCAGCTGGACACTCCTGACATCCTCCAGCTGCTGCTGGCACAGGTGGCCGATCACAAGTTCAGCCCAGGGCAGACCCCACCCCCCAGGGAAAGCATCGAGGACCCGAGGAGGCCAGCGCTGAGATCTCCCCGCTGGGGCTCCAGGAGCTGCCCTCTGCCAGCCCAAAGTCACCTTTGCTCCAAGTCCTCAGCTGGCCGGCCAGAGCCAGCTCAGAACCCTCTCTGCTCAGCTCAGCGGGAACAAGGAACGGGCCCCTATTGGGCAATTATTAATCAGATTCTTGACATTCCTCAGCCCCAGGTTGGCTTGGGGAACATGCTCCCTGAAGGAGGAGGAGGAGCCGAGGCCCGGGACTGGCATTTGGACATGCAGCTGACCGGCAAGTTGGTGCTATCTGCCGCTGCCCTGCTCCTGGTGACTGCAGCCTACAGGCTGTACAAGTCAAGGCCTGCCCGAGCCCCGCGGTGGGGCAGGAGCCCCAAGGCCAAGGCTGAGGAGGAGGCAGAAGGCTCCGGGCAGCCTGAAGTCCAGGAGGCTGTTCCTGGGGCACCCCATAGGGGGCTGAGATGCCGGAGAGGAAGCAAGGGGCCTGGCGTACCGTTGGGCTGCAGCGGGGAGAACCCGGGGGGCCCCCAGGTCCTGGCAACAGGAGCCTCTTCCAGCGACTTGGAAGCCAGAGAGACTTGGAAGCCAGAGAGGAAAGGAGCTGGTGAGCATCAGGGTGGGCAGTGCCCGGGGTCTGGCCTGGCACCTCCTCTCTGCAGTGGCAGCAAGCCTGAGCTGCCCCCCTGCCCCCATCTGGGCAGTGAACCCCAAAGCTCCCCAACTGTCCTTGCTGTGGTGGACGGCAGTGGTGTGGGGGTTGAGCCTGCTCCCAGGCGGGACGGCGGACTCCCCAAGCAGCCAGGGACTGGGGAGCAGGAGTCCCCCCACCAGCGCTGGATGGCCCACTCAGAAGGCAAGAACGACGTGAGCAAGAACTGGGTGTTCACCCGCCTGATGGGAGCCTGCAGGGAAGAGGCTGGGGCCCTCCAGGCTGCCTCAGACATGGGCCTGGCCCTGCATCAGCAGGAGGGGACCACTGACGCCTCCTACACCTTCTCATCGGTGGCCCGGGTTCGAGTAAAGGAGAATTTCGTACAGGAGAAGGGGATCCGGCTGCAGGGCAAGGTGTATGAGTACTATGTGGAATCCACCTCTCAGGCTACCTCTGGGGGCAGGCCGGCCCCCAGCACGGCAGCCCTGGCTGAGGCTCCACCTCCTGTGCCAGGCCCCGTGGGAACAGGGACCGTCCCCAGAGGGGACAGGGGAGGTGGAGCCAGTCCAGCCGCTTCCCCTCCGCCGGCGCTGTCGCCGCCCGTGCAGGGCTTTGGCAGGAAGGAGAGCCTCCTTCAGATCGTGGAGAACCCCGAGCTTCAGCTGCAGCTCCAGGGCTTTGGGGGCCCTGCTCCACCCTGCGCAGACCAGGGGGCGCCGTCCAGCTGCCCCGGATCCGCGGAGGCTCTGGAGGCCAGCTCGGCCGGAAGCAGCGGGGAGTCCAACCTGGAGCTCGTGGCCCGGACCAATTTCTTCCACCTCCCTCTCTCCCCGGGTTCAGCCCCAGATGTCCACCTGGATCTGGGCAATTGCTACGAGGTGCTGACCTTGGCCAAGAGGCAGAACCTGGAGCCCCTCAAGGAGGCCGCCTACCAGGTGATGAGTGACAACTACCTCCAGGTCCTGCGCAGCCCGGACATCTACGGACGCCTGAGCGGGGCAGAGCGGGAGCTGATCCTCCAGCGGCGGCTGCGCGGCCGCAAGCACCTGGTGGTGGCCGACATGTGCCCCCAGGAGGACTCTGGACGCCTCTGCTGCTATGACGATGAGCAGGATGTCTGGCACCTGCTGGCCCATCTGCCCCCAGAGGCTGTGTCCCGGGGCTGTACCATCTGCAGTCTCTTCAACTATGTCTTCGTGGTGTCCGGGTGCCAGGGGTCCGGGTGCCGGCCCTCCAACCGAGTCTTCTGCTACAACCCTCTGACCGAGATCTGGAGCGAGGTGTGCCCCCTGAACCAAGCCCGGCCACACTGCCGACTGGTGGCCCTGGACGGGTACCTGTACGCCATCGGGGGCGAGTGTCTGAACACAGTGGAGCGCTATGACCCTCGCCTGGACCGCTGGACCTTCGCCCCGCCGCTGCCCAAGGACAGCTTCGCGCTGGCGCACACAGCCACGGCGTGTGCCGGGGACATCTTCGTCACTGGAGGCTCGCTGCGCTACCTGCTGCTGCGCTTCTCGGCCCAGGAGCGGCGCTGGCAGGTGGCCCCCACGGCGGGCGGCAAGGACCGCACGGCAGAGATGGTGGCAGTCGATGGCTTTCTCTACCGCTTCGACCTCAACCGCAGCCTGGGCATCAGCGTGCACCGCTGCAGCGCCAGCGCCCGTCTCTGGTACGAGTGCGCCACAAACCGGACGCCCTACCCGGACGCCTTCCAGTGCGCCGTGGTGGACAAGCTCGTGTACTGCGTGGGGCGCCGGCACACGCTGCTCTTCCTGGCTGACTACGTCTCGCCTAGGTTTGTGCCCAAGGAGCTGCAGAGCTTCCCCTCCCCGCAGGGCACCCTCCTGCCCACCGTCCTGACCTTGCCCAGCCCCCGTGTGCCTCAGACCACGGTCTAGCTGCCCCTCTGCTGGGCTCCTCCTGCAAAACTGGGGGCACAGGGCAGCTCCCACCCATCGCTCCGTGGGCCATTTCTGGGGGATCAGGCAGCCAGGCATTTGGCCAGCGGAAGGGGAAGCCTAGTCTTACTCGGGTTGCAGAGGGCAAGTGTGAATCTAGAACTCTGGACTGGTGTTCCCAGCCGAGAACAGCTACATGGCCAGGGATGGCTTTAAGTCTGAACTTGGGGTGGGGGAGCTCCAGGACCCTAGCAAACTTCAGGGGCACAGCCTTGTCACAACCACGATTCAGGTGCCAGTTGATCCCCAGTGACCCCTTAGGAGATGGGCCCCTTCCTAAATATGGCCCCTGGGCCCCAGTGCCCAAGGTTCCCAGAAGCACCTAGAAAAATCAAGGGAGGTGGTTCGGGCAGGACAGGAAGGAGCCCAGGGCAGCCCCAGAGGGCCCAGCCAGAGGGGGGGATGTTTGGAGAAGTTGAACAGCTAAAATTGAAGGATTTTTTTTTGGCCTGCAGAGTAAATTAGCCAAAACCCACTTCCGTTTTTCTCATTACCTGGAGTTCTAGTAAGAGAAACTTCCATTGACAAGGTACGTCTTCTTGTACGGATCTACTAAGAATATGGTTGATCTTGAGAGAGACAGGCGATGTGATCCAAGGGCCACTGTCATCTGGGGCCCACTGACCTTCTCTCCAGATCTCAGAACCCTTCCCTACACAGCTCTCCAAGCAACCCAGCCTCTCATCTGGGGGATGGGGCAGCCTCTGCCAATCAATCCTTTTGGGCTGCGGAGAGCGATGGCATCATTTGCCCTCTCTGTGCCAGTTGCCACCTGGTCAGCCTCAGACGGGAGAGGACCAGGGAAGGGCGGGCCCACGATGGAGCTGAGGATCCATCAGGAGGCTGAGATCGGCCTTCCCAGCAGGTGTGGTAACTTCTCAAAGGGAGGAGACGTCTCCCCAGGAAGTGACCCCTTCTCCTGGAGGGAAGAGCGAGGCTGGCCCAACTCTAACCTCAGCCCTGCCCCATCTCTGAGGGCAATGCACACGCAGGTGAGGGGCAGCCAGGGGCCAAGAGCTGGGACCCCTTCTCTGTGACAAGCAGCACGGAGGGAAGAAGTAGAGATGGGGGGTGCTCCAGGGCAGGACCTGGCAGGTGGCGGGGAAGGACGCTTTGGACGTCAGTGTCCCTGTCTTTAAAATGAGAAGGAAACGCACGTCCTTCTCTGCCTGGGGTATAAACGGGAGCATCTAGAGAAAGTTCTTTCCGAGTGCCCGGGGTCCCAGCGGGAGCCCGCGGTCCCTGCAGCTGCTGGGGTGGAGCCGGAGGTCGTTCTGGGAGAGGCAGGACTGGAACGGAGAATGAGAGAGGTCGGCACGGAGACGAGGACTTTTATTGCACCGCACGAGGCCCCGGGCCTGGGAGGCGAGGCTGCTGAGTTTATTCCTCAGTTGGAGGCTGGCAAAGGAAAGTCGGCGAGGACTGTGGTCGGTGCCTGGAAAGCGTGACCCCCTGGCCAAGGCTGTGCTCAAGGTCAGAGTCAACACTCAGGCATGAACCTCCAAGGCACCCAGGGGGTTGGGGGGTGCTTCAGTGACAGGACTAGAGGTGGCATCGGCGTGGTGGTCCAGGCTGGAGTTAGCTTGAGAGGAGAACCCCATGTGGGAGCTGGGGCAGAGGGAGCCAGTTGGAGCCCCAGGGGCGGGGCAGGTCCAGCTGAGGAGCCAGGCGGAGGACAAGCCCCCAGCAGAGCCCAGGAGAGTGCGGGGAGGGCTCTAGGTCAAGCGAGAACTAGGGGTCGCTCGGGAAACCTTCCAGAAGCCCACTGCGTACCTGCGGCAGGGACGAGGGAAGTCACCGACCCAGGGACAGGGTTCCGGACCCCGTGATGGCGGGTGTGGCCTTCGGGTGAGAGGGAGCGCTGAGATCGGGGCCTGGGCTGAGCTGGGAAGTAGGGACACCTTGCATCTGCCTCCCTGCGGTCACCTGGCAGACATCACTAAAGGACTGTTGTCCCCTTTCCTGGGAGCCTCCCCACGGGCCTTCGAACTGTTTCCACACAGGCCCGGGCCATCACGGCCGACCGGAGCTGGCGGTTTCTCCTCTCTGGAGCTGGGTTTAGGGGTGACAGTGGCGGGGCCATCGTGGTAGCGCGGGGCGGTCAGGGGGCCCTCGGCGACCGCCTGGAGGCATGGAGGTCAGGGCAGGTTTACGGAGGGTTGAGGCCAGGCACCGTTCCGGTGATGCAGGAGGTGATGCAGGATCCCTGCCCTCCGGGAGGAAAACAGACAACTCTGAAAAACAAATGCATAAGTAAACAGAACCCATGCTGGGTAAGTGCCGCAGGGACAGATAAGGCAGGGAGTGGGATGGGGCCATCAGGCCTTCCCAATGACATGACACTGAGCGGAGACCCCAGCGGAAATCTGGGGGACCACAAAGACCGGGCTGGCTCCGGGCCGTGCCACCTGCGGGGCTCTGTCACGGGGACAGGAGAGGGCAGGTCCACCTCCCAGGACCTCCGTCTCTGTGTGAACAGGGCAGGAGCCCCCACATCCCTCGATGGCTTTTCACGCACAGGACATAAACCACATTCCCGAGAGAGAAACCCAGTTAGGGATGAAAGTCAAAATAATTACCAGGACAGCCCTGGCCGGTCAGGCTCAGCGGTCAGAGCGTCGTCCTGTGGACCAAAGGTCTCGGGTCAAGGGCACGTACCTTGGTTGGGGTTCGTCCCCAGCCCTGGTCGGGGTCGTGCGGGAGGCAACCACTCAATGTGTCCCTCTCACATTGATGTTTCTCTCTCTCTCCCCCTCCCTCCCTCTATCTGAAGACAAATAGGAAAATATCCTTGGGCGAGGATTAAAAATAAATAGATAATTAACTGTCAGGACATCGCATGTGCCATAGCTGGGCGTGTGGTGGGTGTCAGCTGGCCCACATGACCCGATGGGCCCAGGGTCCAGGAATTGCACTTGACCTTGTTTACTAGCCGGTCTGTCGACCTACAGCCCTCAGCCTCAGAGTGGCCTCTACGTCAATAAAGCTTCTCCCCGGTCACCTGTCCTGCTTCCCAAGAAGAGTATTTTGTTCTTTAGGAGAAAAAAAAACACCTTAAGGTTGAGTTAGTTGCTTTCTACGTTAGGCCAACCATGCTATTATAGAAAAAAAGAAAAGTTGGAAAATAGAGGAAAGTAGAAAACAACCTCCCCGGTCAACCCCCGCTGTGGTGTGTGCGGGTCCCTCCAGCCTGTCCCTTCTGTGTGTGATTTTGGTCGCGCCTGATGTCGGCCTAGGTGTGATTATGCTGAATGTACAATTCAGTTGTTCCCCTTTTTTTTCACTCAGCTTTTGAAAATAAGCATTTTCCTGTGTTATTACAAACCCTCGGTAAACATCATTTCAATAGTTGCACAATATTCTACCCAGCGCGGTACCGCGGTTTATTTAACTTTCTCCCTCCTGTTGGGCATGTAGATTTTTTTTTTTGTTTCCTGTTGGTTTCTTTTTCGGTCATAAATAAAACGTCCCTTGTTTTCTTGCTCCTCTCCGTCTGGGGCCTCTATCAGTACTCACAGGAGCAGCCCAGCCTGGGCCTTGGCTGGAAGAGCAGGGTTGTTAAAACAGCCAAAGGGGAAGCAGCATTTGCCTAGGGCTGGGCCCAGCCCCGCTCTGACCGCCGGGCACAGGGCTGGCCTTGGCAACGCCCAGCCAGGAAGGCGACTCTCTCCGAGCGCCACCTCAGGTGCCCCGCCCTGTGCTGTTGCTGGAGCCCTGGTCCCACGTGCAGACACTGCCTTCTGTGCGCCCTCTCACAACGATCCCCTTCTACAGGTGAGAAAACTGAGGCTTGGAGAGCTCAAAAGAACTTGCCTTCGTGGCAAAGCTCAAAGACCCTCAGTTTCCTTAAAAGCATTCTGGAGCCGGGCCTACTCCCAACATGGTAGCCTTTCCATCCCTCTCAGGGGCCAAGGTGTTGGCATGAGCTGTCATCTGGGCTGTCCCCAGTCCCTTCTCTGCCCACACCCATCAATTCTGCTCTGTCCTTGAACTCTAAACTCAAATAAACTTTTCTCAAACTCTCTGAGCCTCACTCTCTGCATCTATAAAATGGGTTTGCCTCTGCCAGCCCATCGTGCATGTTGTAAGAACTAAGAGAATGTGTGCAAAGCACCCACCCCGGGGACTGCTCCAGGCGGGTCTCGGTGTCTTTGCGGGGGGGGGGGGGGGGGGGGACTGCCCCGAGCCAGCTTGGCGGAGGACAGTGTCTGACATTGAAGCTGCAGGGGCCCCACTTGGTTTGCCAAGGTCTAGGGTATGCTCAAGTTTAGGGTATTTTAGATCACCGGGTTGTGAGACCCTGAGCCTCTATGCCCCGTGTCCAGGGTTAAGAGTGGACTGGCGGCCGATTTAAGTTTCCCAGGCTCAGCGCATGAAGCCCTTTCCCAGGCAACACAGAGGGGCTTCCGGCTGGCTGGGCTGCTTAGAGCCCCGGTGCTGGGAACCTTGCCGAAGGGGCAGGGTGGGGGGAACTCCTGTCTTTTACAGACTGGGAGTGACAGCCACTCAGAGCCACTGGAAGATATGTGGAGCCTGCCAGGTGCCCAGCACTTCCCGCCTCTGTCATCCTTACCTGGAAGGGCCTTGGGTCCCCGGGGTGGCCCAGGAGTCTCCTGCAGCTGAGGCTGGGAGGAGCCCCCTAGGCAGCCAGGAGGCTCCGCAGAGGAAATGAAACCCAAAGGGAGGGGCGCCTGCAGGGAGGGGAGGTGCGGAGAAGGCTGGGGAGTCGGAAGAAAGGACAGCCTGCAGGAGAGTTCCTGCCAACGGCTCCCAGCCTCCGGGTGTTTGAGAAGTGGGATGTCGGTCAAAATAAAACAGAAATGAAAAAGCAATCAAGTCTGGGTTGCCTTTGCGTGCGTTGCCTTTGCGTGCGTGTGTGTGTGTGTGTGTGTGTGTGTGTGTGTGTGTCGGGGGTGGAGACACGGATCTCATACCACTAATAACTCCTGCGGCGCCTGCACGGGCTGGGTGCAAATACTTCAGGCCACTTAGTCATTGAGACCACACTGAGACATGCCGTCTGGGAGGGATTACCCTCACTACATGGGGAGGGAACAAAGACAGGACATCCCACGAAAATGAGAAATTACTATTTCATACCTACTGTTACATCTTCCTTCATTAAAGAAGGGGAAGAGAGAAATGTCACCGTTGTCGATACATTTATTGAGCTCTCCCAACACCAATAGGAGCGCTACTTACACGATTGCATTCCAGCCTCCAAACAACTGCAGGAGGTGGCGAAACTGGCCACATTCTCTGCTTCCTACCAGTCCCCTAACCCGGCTGAGGGACTGGCTTCAGAGAGCTGGGCATGGGGTGTGCTCTCCGTGGTTCTGAGACCCTGCCATGGTCACACGTGCACGAGTCCAGCTGGCCGGTGGAAGGTGAGAGGCGTCTGGCCCAATGCTCATCAAATGCCCCAGCAC